CTCGAATCCAAGCCCTGGCAGCTTCCGGTCCCTCATTTCCCTGAAATTCATGAATTGCTTCAGGAATTGGAGGAAAATATGGCATCAAAGTATCTTGTCGTGCTGCTAAGTTTTCGGATAGCGTCGACAAAACTCGAGTTAATTCGTTGCTTTCTCGTGACGAACTCGCAGTAGCTTGATTCCCACGCGCCTGCGCTTCTGTACTAAGATGTTCCATGGCTGCATTCATGTCCGCTTCTTTTCTTTCAAAATTTGATCACGATCCCGAATTTCTTGTTCATAAAACTCCCTCTCTTGCTCTATATCCTCTTTCTGTTTCTGGATCAACTCCAGAGCTCTGGCCAGCCTCTCCTCGGCTGAATCTCCTGGACCATTCGACATGCTTCCAGCTAAAGATAACTGATCAGAATAATTGTCTCGATAAAACGTTTCAAATGATTTCTCTCGCAGATTATCACCATCCATTAATCCAACTGATTAACAACTTTAATTAAAACGATCCTCACTATAATCAATCTCACGATCTCTTTTTACTAATCCACAAAACATGTGAAAACCACACCAACAATGAACAAGCTCTGACACTTCACACTTTCACGTTTCCCATCCAAGAATATCTCGTGCATCCAAACTTATTTTGTAATCCTCGTAATCCCACTTCTGATTTTGTTGTAGTCATTAAATGAAACACTCAGGATCTTCATTAAGATGATTAATTTATTTAAAAAAAAGTTTAATATTTAAAATTACAAATAAGAATCACCAAAGGCACCAACGCAGCTAGCTGCCATCTTTTTCATTCCTCACTCTCTCTCTCTTCTCTCCCCACTCCTCACATCCAACTTCAGCTCCCTCTATTCTTATCTATATAAATTAATACTTTGCCCGCCTTTATTTTAAATGATAACAAATCAATTTTGTTTTCTGTAATATGGAATAATAAAAATCAAACATTTAGTGATTGTATGTTGTGAAAGAAGGAAATATGAATATTTTTGTACAAATCAGGTCCCAATCACATGTTTACATAAACATAACCTTTCAATACATGTGATTTTCTCTGTCACGCACGTCTATAAAGCTTCGCACTTATTAATAAATTAGATTGAAACTTACCTTCGAAAACTGCGATATAATTTGAGAAACCCCAATTACTTAATAATTCTCTTAATTGATGCATATTTTTTCCTTCACATTTCACAAATTTCACAGTACAAAGTGTCCGCCATTTTGAATATAAAGTAGGGGAACATAAGCAGTAGCGTAGCATTCACTTAAACGAGAGTAAGGCCAAAAACGCCGTTGAGTATCGTGAACTAAACGGAACTCAACGCTGTTTAGTTACAGTAACTACTATTACATTTGGCATGACAATACTTTAGGCTACTAAACAAGTTTTGTAGCCACAACAGTAACTCTTCTCTCCGTGTAACCGTTATGAAATTCTGGGCTTAGACTTGTGGTACAAATTCCAAAAATATTGGGCCCAATTCCAGACATTTGGCCCAATATTTTTGGCATTTGTACTACAAGTCTTAACCCAGAATTTCATAACGATTACGAAATGAATACTGGGAATTAGTGGGTTTTATTTAAGAAAAATAATTTCATTACTGTGGGCCTCACATTGGGCCGTGGAATCTTACATTGGGCTCTGTGCCCAATTTGAAAATTGGCTTCAAATTTCTAATCTTGTGACCCCAAAAACCCCCCAAGATAGGGTTTTTTCAAATTTATTTATTTGTTTGTTAAAATATTTTTTTTGGCCCAATCCCAGACATTGGGACTAATATTTTAGGCATTTATACATGTCTGAACGCAGAATTTCATAGGGATTACGAATTTGATACTGAAAATTAGTGGTCTCATTTAAGAAAACCACTTTTTTCATTGTATGGCCCAACATTGGGCCCTGGGCCCAATTTTTTGATTTCAAAAATATAGATCTTTTTGTTTGGAACAACTTTTGTCTTGAACATTTTTTAAGAAATTTCGTACTTTTCGAGATGTTCCAATCATAAAAAATTCTTGTGATCACATCCCATGGAATTGCTCTATATGATTTAAGGGATTAGTACCATATCTCAGTGACTTTTCTTAAACATTTTTTATTTATTACAAAATTTATTTTATTTACTTCAAACTTTTTATACCTAAAAGAAAGGGTTTTAAACTATTAAAAAAAAATTTTATTCCTTATTTATTATAATAGTCTAGCTCTGTCATGGCCACCTGAAAATACCCCTACTTGTGATTGGCGAACACGATATCTCCAATTCAGGCATGAAGTAGTACAAGAAGCACTCACTCTATAGGCCGTTTTTGAAAATCCTTCCCCAGCCTTTCCAGATTTAATAGAAGCATTTACATATCCTCGATACATTACAATTCTTTATAAAAAATCCTCTAATCCAAAATAGTTCATATAGGGCTCGTTGGATGCGGAATTACGTCACATTTTAATTGGTAGCATCAGAATTGCAATAACTTTATTTATTTGTAAAATATTTCAGTTTTTAGTATAGATGTTAATTGTTTTTTTGGTTAAATCCACATTTTACACGGAGAGAAAAAACAAGCGTTTGTAGCATGAAAGTTCTACCTTCAAACGCATGTGACATCAGCATACTACGATTGCAAGAAGTTATGCTTTTTCGGTATAGTTTTATGCAACTGTAGTATAAGGCCACGCCTCTTAAGCAGGAACGTCCATACAAAATTATCATAAATGGCTCCCATGCTACAAAGCCTTGATTTTTCTCTCCGTGTATTTTTAAAATTCATAATTAAATAAGCTTTCGCCCGTCAACGTCGGACCTCATCAGATTTAAAAACTGGAATTAAATTAACATTTTTTTAAAGTTTGTTATAAATATAAAATTTCATTAGATTGACAAACACAACCTCAAACTCACCAATATGGATTTCCACACTCATTTAATAATTTCCAAATAAAAAAATTAATAATTTTATCGAAGGGTCAATCCATTATATTTCGACTGAAGTCGTCGCTGACTAATTTTTAAAAATTATAATACTTTGCAGGAATGATTTTGAAGTTATCAAGATCACGAAATGAAAAGAATTTTATTAAAATTTTAATTATTTATTGCAAAATATGAATTTAAAGTTTATGAGGTGCTGAAAACTGTCAATTTTTTAGCCATTAGAAAATATGCAAAAAAAAACAGAATTTACCATAAAAATAAAAAAAAATTGTTGTAATTTACTAAGAATGAATAAATTTATCATTATCAATTGATATAATTATTTAAATATGTGAAATAATATATAAAATATGATTTTCAAGTTCGCCTATCAAATAACCTAAATTTGCAAATTTCATCTATTAAATGTGAGAAAGAGAAGTCATTAAATTAAAAAAACCTTACCAAATATAAAGTACCTGTGACTAACTTTTAGTTTTTCTTAGCACTTTTTTCCTTTTTTCTTCATAAATGTGAAATAAAAAGCAATAAAAATTGGCACTTTGCTTATTTTCACTATTTTCAAATGTAAATAACTTTCTTGGAGAAAACTGAAAAATTACAAAACTTGGGCAATATCTAATTGATCACTAACTACACACACTGGAAAAAAATTCGCTTTGGTCCCGAAGATACTTTTTAAGATAATTAAGTTTAAACTTTTCACAATTTTTATCAGGTTAAAACATGTAGTTTTTTAAGGACGAAGTTAGGTTTTATTGGTTAAACATTTTGAACTAACTTCAATTTTATAATAATAATAATAAAACAATAATAAAAATCTCAATAACAATAATTAAACATTAATAATATCAGCATTATCATCAATTAGTATTACCAATTACACCGCCCGACAAAATTTAACTTTGTTTTTGACCCACAAAAAAATCAAACATTTTCGGAAACTAGGACCAAAAAAAAAATACCCGTGTTTGGCCGTTTTGCAAGATCAAGTCGTTTGTGGTTTTTAGGGGTGAAAACAACCTCTAAATGAAAAGTGATAAGATATCTTTTAAAAATTATTATTTTTTATAAAACTTGGTATCTAGGAGTTTTTGGGGTCGCTAATGACGAATCTGATGTCAAATTTTCAAAATTCAAGATGGCGGATCTAATAAGGCGGACAAAATTTTATAAATCTGAGGTAAATTTTTTTTTTATAAAATTTTCGTGAATTTATCTCAGATTTATAAAATTTTGTCCGTCATATTGGATCCGCCACTTTAAACTTACAAAAACTGACACCTGAATTCGTAATCAGATTAGAGATTTTTTTATAGTTTGCATATTTGCTGCAAATCTCACTGCAAACGTTTTTTAATTTTTATTTCTACAATTACGAAATTGGTATTGATTTATTGCATTAAATATTTTTTTACAAAGTAGAATAAAAATGTGGACCGTTGTCACATGATAATCAAAAATATCTTTTTCATAGAAATGGATTTTTTAATACAAAAAAGATTTATATCCAAATCACTTGAGGTTACTAAAAATGACAAAATTGTTCTGTTCACTAAATCTAGTGTAGAATTCTTATTTTTCATCCGATTGTGCTCTACTTGGGCTCAAAATTTTCTTAATTAAATAGACTATCGATAAAATATTTAAAACATTAACTTTTTTTATTGTTTGAATTAGGAAAATTTAGTAGAAATTAGACAAGTTTCTAAAAATCATCAAAATTTACATGAAATTTGAATTTTGATCAACTATATGTCTGTCAATTTTCATTGGATTTTATTCTACGACCGACGATTCGAAATAAAAATGCCGTTGCATTATGTCTAATACGTGTAATACGAAAATAAAAGTAAATAATATTGTATGGTATGGTATTGATATTGACCCTTTGGTAATTTTGTTCCACTACGCTCTAAAATTTTTAATTTTCTAATATCATTATAGTCATAATTAATTTGTAATATAATTCTGGCTTTGGCGTGCTTATCTGTGACACTAAAATTTTTTATTATAATTACATTTTAATACTAATTCTCATATTATTTTTAGGGTGTTCCATCTTCTGCTCTTAGAGAAATTTGTTTACTTAAAGAATTAAAACATAAGAACATAGTTCGTTTGTATGATGTTCTTCACAACGATAAAAAGTTAACTTTAGTATTTGAACATTGTGACCAAGATTTAAAAAAATATTTTGACAGTCTGAATGGTGAAATTGATTTAGATGTGGTGAAATCATTTCTGTAAGTAAAAAATCAATTTAAAAAATATCTGAAAAGCAGACACAAAGCACTTTCATCATAGCGCAGAAAAAACCTGAACTCAAAATGAGTTGTCTGGCGTGTATCAAATATACATAGGAACACGTTTCTGAAAAATCACGTAAAACATTCTCGGTTCTACAATAAATTTACAAGAGCAAAGACTCAATTCCAGCAACAACTAGACTATTACTAGTCAAACCCTGGCGGATTTGATTTACTTAAGTTCGACCCAGCTGGGGCGAATCTAAGTCGAATTTAAAAAATTATCAAAAAAAAGCTTTTAATTGATGAAAATTTTTAAAAATAAGTATTGGGAGGGTAAATGAACATTTATAGAGTTAATTTTTGCAAGAATCTCAATTATTAAAGTGATAAATAATAAATAATCACTTGATATGTGCAAGTGGTTCATATCTGTAGATTTTAACTCGTCAGTTTTCACCATATTTTCAAGAAATTCGTATAAACTGTGTTAAAAAATAATTTATATTTCATATAAAAAAAATATATACAATATAAAAATTTAGTGTTTGCAACAAAATTGTTTGATTAGGCAATTTTGGTTCTTGTAACGAAATTTTGGTTGGCTGAAACAAAGTTGTAGAGTTATCTCAACCAAACATTTGGTTAAGCCAACAAAATTATTTGGTTGAACATTTTTAAATTCCAACCAAAATTAGGTTACGACAACAAAATAATTTGGTTAACACAACAAAATAGTTTGGTCTAAAAAACCAAATGATCGTTTATTATCCTAACCAAAATTTGGTTGCGACAACCAAATAATTTGATTCGCTCTCAGCTTATAGCAATAGACCCCTACGTCCTTTGTAGAAGGATTATAATTTTAACCCGAGTTTTATGACTTGAAAAATTTGTAATTTTAATAACTCAACTTTAAAAAATATATATTGAGATTCTTTGATATTTCCAGATTATGAATATCTAAAATTTATCAAAAAATAATTACATTTCAAAAAGTTATAATTTATCTCGTATACCTTAAGTTTGATAAAAAAATGGACATCATTTTTGAATTTAGCTGCCAAAGGTCATATCATATGCATAATAATGTATAAAAATAATATAAATCCATGAAAAACAAATATAATATTGAAATAAATATAAAGTATTAGTTTAAACATATTGAAAAAGCTAGTCGCTTTTCACTTTTATGAGGGTATTAACGGTAACTCGACCCTTTTCGCAGGTAAATTTCCCAGTTCCATTTCAGTACCAAAATGCACCAAATTAGTACTGAGCTGGTACTGAGCCCTCAGTTCCGATTTCCCAGTACCAATCCAGTACCACCCTTACGGTAGGGTTGCAGTTTGTTGGTTACGAGAAGTGGGGAGATATCTTGGTTGGGCTTTTCGTTTCGGCATACACTCAGTAGATTTCTGCGCACATTAATACACACGCATAGCATAAGCACTACGTACCCTTACTGATGAGTCCAATAATGGGGACCGAGACGAAACGACTGTGGCTTCTAAGCTATGCTTATGAGTAATAACACAATTATTTCCATATCGTTTAACATTGGCTTATTTTTGTTGCATTTCAAATTGAGCCTGATTGAACTTATTTTTAGTTCAGGTTTTTTCTGTGAGGATTTCATGGCCAAGTTGCATGGTATATGTTACTAAGGTTAAAATTATTATAACCACAGTTTCTATTGGGATCTGACATTCGTACACATGCCATCTGGTGTTGAAAAATGTAACTAGTTTTGGATAACTGTTTGTGTCACTTGCAATTGTAGTTCCGCTGTCATTGTTAATTATTTTATCATTATGAATGAAGCTACATTTTTTACCGCGTGAGAAATCTTCCTGCAGAATTAAGTGTTCTGTGAGAGGCTGTGGCAGTACTGTAGCGAAAAATTTAAGCGTAATTTTCCATAAATTTCCGAAACCAAAACAACGAGTAGTTGGTGTGAAAAATACGTTCGATAATTTTGAAAGTCGATCAATTAAAGGCCTGGAAAAATGCTTTAAAAATAAACAGTATAAAGCCTTCTATGAGAGTATGTTCTCTGCATTTCAAAAGAAGTGATTACATTTTACCAGGTAAGTTTAAGATTTTAAAATTTGGAGGTTATATAATCTTTCATATTACCCGTGCATTGAACATTTTGAAAGTTAATTTATCACTGTAAAAACGGATAAATAAATTTTTTTTTCACTTCTTGTTAACAGACTTTTACAATGAAAAATGAAATATATACATTTATAAATTTTCATATAATTACATGAAATATAAAGGAAAATACAATACTTTTCTTGCACATGTATCGCTGGATTTGAGAAAATCATTTGTATAAAAATAAGATTTCTTTTATATTTTTATTCATGTTTGTAAATAGGAATTTAAATAGTAATTTTGTATTAAAAAAATTCACTTATACATTTATTAAATTAAGCAATATTTTTTAAACGATTTTTTTCTATTGCATCCCATGTTATTCCCATGTAAATTCACTAAAAGTGTTACCCAATTTACGCCATATTGCTTTAGGCCCCGCCCCCATGTCAGATCCCAATAGTAACGGTTATCATAGCTACCGTTGCTAGGGTAACGGTTGTCGTAGCAACTATTGCTATATAACGTTTTCCATTGTTATACTAATGTACAACGGACGGACGGATTTCAAAGCGTCACTATAATGGTTTCAGCCCTGGGCCACGAAACCCTAAAAATAACTTTATTTCTTGATACGAAAATAAAACTCGTTTCTTTCTTTTAGATATCAATTATTAAGAGGCTTAGCATTTTGTCACAGCAGAAATGTCCTACATAGGGATCTAAAACCTCAAAATTTGCTCATTAATAAAGTAAGTTACAAATTTTAATTTTTTTAAATACTAAATTGTTATTATTCAATTTGCATTCTAATTTATAAAAATCTCATTTTATCAAAGATACAATTATAATGTGTATAATTTAGATACTATCTAGTCTGAAGCGGAAACTTTTCAGGTTTTTGTCACGGGTTGTAACATGGTTTTATCTAATTTGTGCATGTTAACTTTTAAATCGTTACAGTAACTAAATCTGTATAGTTTCTAACGGGATCCACATGTGACGAATAAAGTTTTATCCTGGCTGAGTATAGAATGTTTCAAAATATTTTTTCTATATTACAGAATTTTTATTTCTTCGAATTTTCATTTAACATAATAGGCATTTTAAAGAATTTTTATTGGGTAGAATTTCATTGCATAGAATTTTCATTCGGATGAATTTTCATTTGTTCAAATTATTATTTGATATAATTTCCATATAACCGATTTTTCATAGTACAGAATTTTTACTTAACCGAAAAATCATTTAATAGAATTTCTAAATGATAGAATTTTCTATTGTCCGAATTTGCAAATGGCCGAACAAACAATGGACAGAAAGATTTCGCCGCGATTTTTAAAATCAACCAATCAAAAATTCTCCATAAAATTGTGATTGGTTGATTTTAAAAATCGCGCCGAAATATTTCTATCGATTGTTTGTTCGGTCATTTGCAAAGTCGAACAAATTAAATTTCTATAAATTAGAAATTCTATTAAATGGTTTCTCGGTTAAGTAAAAATTCAGTAGAATGAAAAATCGGTTATATGGAAATTATATCAAGTAATAATTCGAAAAAATGAAAATTCTATGCAATCAAATTCTACCCAATAAAAATTCTTTAAAATGCCTATTATGTTAAATGAAAATTCGGGCAAATAAACCAAAGTAGCACGATATATCAACCAGATGCCACGGTGATATCACCGGGGAATGTCACCGTGACATCAGGAAAATGTCAAAATGTCCGCCTTACGGTGATATCAAACGGTGATATCATGGTGACATCAAAGTGAAATCACAGTGATAGTCATATCACGGTGATATCATGGTGATATCACCGTGATGTTATGTTTATTTTACAGGGACTTAAAATTTTTAATAATTTAAAAAATAATTATAAATAAAAATAATAAAAATAATAATAATTTTTTAAAAATTTTAAATCCCTGTGAAATATCAACATGATATCACCATGATATCAACGTGATATGACTGATATCACCTTGATGTCACCATGATATCACCTCGATGTCGCCGTGTGATATCACCGTAAGGCGAACATTTTGACATTTTCCTGATGTCACGGTGACATTACCCGGTGATATCACCGTGACATCTGGTTGATATATCGTGCTACTTGGGAAAATTCTGACAAATAAATATTCGAACATATCAAAATTCTGTGAAGTGAATTTTCGTCAGTCGCATCTTTTTTTATAACGCGGTTGGTCGCAAGTGAGATAATCTCTCACCCATGTAATTGAGTGCAGTGTTGCCGAATCATTCAAATAAGCGCGGCTTTGAAATTGAAGATCGTCGGAGCTATTAGCATATGTTTTTTAAGGTTAGGTTCTCACATGTGTGTCAACTTGGCAACGCTGCCTCACTACTACGTTTAAAAACAAGTAAAATCGACTATACGCGATTGGTCGCACGGTGAGAGCATCCGTCACCAAATCGTGACATTTGTTGACTTTAAATTCAAAAAAATAAAAATAACACTAAATAAGAACGTAAAAACTGTTTTAATGTATAAAAGAAGAGTGATGTGAAAGGTACTGAAATTATGGAATGATAATTTTATGTGATTTAAGAGAAATAAATGAAAAATACAAAACAGGGTGAGGGATTCTCTCACCATGCGACTGACGGAGGGTTAAATAAAAATTCTATAATATAGAAAATTGGTTTGATAAAAATTATGCAAAATACTAATTCGAACAAATAAAAATTCAGCTCAAAACTAATTATTACAAATGAAATTCGATAAAATGAAAATTCTGACTAATGATTTTTAGAACATAATCATGCGTCCCGATTTCTATCTGGTTTTTCCCGGATTATATCTGGGAACTGTAAAAAAAATTTAATATATTTATAAAAAAAATTTATAATATGAGTTATAATGAAGAAATAAACATTATAAATTGAAATAGAAATAAATTTAATTATAATTTATTATACGTAATATGGTGAAATACGTATGACGAACAATAATTGTCGCAGATCGATAAAAAGCCATTCGAATTATAAAAAATATAAATTTACAGATAAAAAGAAATTGATGGAATCACATTTCGTGCGTTTTTTTAAATAATATAAAAATAAGTTTTGCGATTTATTAAGTCAGCTTAGCTTTATCAATATAAAAACATTAAATGTACTCATCCAACTTGATGTAGCAATGACGTAGAAGATGATGATACTATTGCAATTTAACAATTTGTGGATGGTTCCGAAGTTTTTATGCATGCAGAGCTACTAATCCTCCGAAATTCCAATTGAAATTGAAGCATTAAGAAAATATATAAATAGAAATTGTGACAACCCTTTCGCGAGATTTAAAATTTTGATAATTTATATGGACGTGGGTAGCACATTAGAATGCTATCTTACAACAAAACAATGGGCTCTTCCTCGATGATGAAACACAATCCAAAGCGACTATGTGATTCACCAATCAAGACCAGATGAGGACAGCCAGAATAAGAGTGAAATTACTGGTGTCGAACGCAGCAATCCTTTGAATATCGATCCGCTATTGATTATGTTACGAAACGTGAAAGGCTAAAGACACAATCAGTCTGAGCTAGACTATGCGGTCCATTGACAGCTGGGCGACAATCGTGTGCCTTCCTTGTCCTCTTGTTTCTCGATGTCGAGTTTTATGGCCTCGGAGAGAGTTTTCCATAATGCCAAATTATCTTTATCTGATTCGCGAGGTGATAACAGATTCGACACGTTTCTTGACAACCCTGAGTGAGCAGAAGTTGACGTCTCCGATAAAGCGATCGCGGATTTCAGAGGAACGCGTTGTGGGAGCGTTTCCCCGTTCGCATGTGCGGTTGATGGATTTCGGGATCCCTTTCGGACAGCACCCTTGGATACATCTTTGGAAACTAAAGCGGTGGACAGTTTAGTCTCTTTAATTTGGTTGCAGCATTCAACGCAGCTGGTATGGGGGAAATTTTGTGGTCTCCAACATCCTCTACATCTCGCGCTTTCAGGAACATGATGTCATGGGCATTCAGAATTGTTAAAATCAGGACAGGAACATTTTGACAAAATCGATGGTTGTAGGGCTTTTTGCAGACTCTAAACCCATGTCCAGTCTCGTTTCAGTTAAGGCAACCTTCTGGAGCTCGTGGACGAATGCGAATTTCGCGTAGTTCACATTGCATTTTAAACACCTCCGATATCTTGTGTTTAAAGAGATCGCGAGTTCGTTTGTGAAGGTCCTTCATATAATAATAATCTGTTTTCAGATCATTATAAGCCCTCTCGTAGGAATCGACATTTTTCTGCAATGGCAAAGTCTTTTTCTTATATTGATCGGTTTCTTTTTGTAAATTGGCAACTTGCGAAGAGAGTTCTTGCCGTTCTTTGACCACTTCTGCAAGGAGTTTGTAGTTGGCGGTGATCTCTTCTGCGGTGTTTGATACAGGTGATGCCTTAACATGTTCGAGTTCTTGATGCAGCATCGCGATTACCGCCTTCGCGTTGAAGACTTGATTCGCCAAGACAAGTCGCATGTTGAGCAGACTTTCCAAATCTACCGTGTTAATCGCGACTAAACCAAGCTCAAAGTTAATATTATTTTTGTGATTTTTATTAAAATTCTTACTCTGTCTCTTGTCGGCTTTAAACATTTCTGCTTCAACTTTTGTTCGAAGCGCGTCTATATGTTTCACGCGTTCTAGCCAGTCATTAGCGTTATTGACGTCTTATTCACGGGCGTGGTTGATATACGCGGGTGTAACGCCGAGGGAAGAATGTGTTTTGTTATTATTAGCAAATTGTATTTCTTTTAGAATGAAATCCCATTTGCGGTGGTCGTCACCTAAAAGGCTAGCAATCATAGTTTCAAAATGTGTTTTACGCGTTCTACCGGATTAGATTGTGGGTGATACACTGGGTAGTTCGCTGTTCATATCTGATTTTATTTATGAAATTCGTAATATTGCGATTTATGAACTCTGTTCCATTGTCGGTTAGAAAGATTCTAGGGACTCCCATCTATTAATAAGGGTGTTTAATGACCTTACTATTTTTGGTCCGTCCGCTGCCGATAATGGGAAACAATCTATGTATCGAGTATACATATCTTCGCAAACTAAGATATAACGTTTACCAGATTTTGATCGTGGAAGAGGACCCATAATATCAAGCAATACTATTTCCCATGGTTCTTTAATTTTACAAGAGTACATTAAGCCTTGCGGAGGATAATTCTTGGATTTGCATTTAAGACATATCTCGCACTCGCTAACATAACGCTTAATGTCTTTGCGCATACCGGGCCAATAATAATTGTTAACCCCTTCGTGCCCAGGCAAAACTGAGCATATAAAAAAACGAAACTAAAGTGGTTCCTATAGTTTTTGGGGTCGCTGATTACGAATCTGGTGTTAGTTTTTGAAAATTCAAAATGGCGGATTCAATATGGCGGACGAAAAAATAAAAATTGTTGGGATTCGCTTGAAAATTGTCACTTGGGGGTTTTCGAGGTCGCTGATTACGAATCCGATATTAGTTTTTCAAAATTCAAAATGGCGGATCCAATATGGCGGACGAAAAATCAAAATTGTTTGGATTCGCTTGAAAATGGTTACATGGGGGTTTTCGGGGTCGCTGATTACGAATCCGATATTAGTTTCTCAAAATTCAAAATGGCGGATCCAATATGGGGGACGAAAAATCAAAATTGTTCGGATTCGCTTGAAAATGGTCACTCGGGGGTTTTCGGGGTCGCTGATTACGAATCCGA